GGAAGGTTAGCCTGTGTAACAAGAGTGAAATTCCAACTTAAAAAAAAGATAACTTTTGTGTTTTAAATATAAGCTATTTGTACACAAAATAAAATGGCTATAACCCAGCTTTAGAAGAAAAGAATAGCCTTATATTGTTAAATTTTTTTTTTTTTTTTGAGACGGAGTTTCGCTGTTGTTACCCAGACTGGAGTGCAATGGCACGATCTCAGCTCACTGCAAACTCCGCCTTCTGGGTTTAAGCAATTTTCCTACCTCAGTATCCTGAGTAGCTGGGACTACAGGCGCACACCACCACACCCAGCTAATTTTTTTGTATTTTTAATAGAGATGGGGTTTCACCTTGTTGACCAGGATGGTCTCAATCTCTCGACCTCGTGATCCACCCACTAGGCCTCCCAAAATGCTGGGATTATAGGCATGAGCCACCGCTCCCGGCCATATTGTTAAATTTTAAAAAATTATATTTTATAAAATATAGTTAGAGACTCTCATATATTAAAGAAATATTTAGCAACAAATTATGTTATCATTTAGATTTACACTGAAGAAGGTGGGAAAAAGTTTTTTTTTTTTCCTGCAGCAAATTTAAATTTTTGAGTATTTCAGTAAACATAGAGTGACTACCAATTATCTAAATTACTTTAGGCATAACATGTAAATTCTGGCATAGTGTCTTAAATGTCTGAACCTAACATTACAGAAAAGTTTTTTTTTTTTTTTTTTTGAGACGGAGTTTCACTCTTGTTACCCAGTCTGGAGTGCAATGGCGGGATCTCGGCTCACTGCAACCTCCGCCTCCTGGGTTCAGGCAATTCTCCTGCCTCAGCCTCCTGAGTAACTGGGACTACAGGCATGCGCTACCGTGCTCAGCTAATTTTTTGTATTTTTTAGTAGAGACTGGGTTTCACCATGTTGACCAGGATGGTCTTGATCTCTTGACCTCGTGATCCGACCACCTCGGCCTCCCAAAGTGCTGGGATTATAGGCTTGAGCCACCGCGCCCGGCCTCAGAAAAGTTTGAAGTAGAATATAAAAATGTACAGCCAGAGGAATATCACTAAGATAAAAAAATGAAAAGTGCTCTATTTGCTTCTCTCTCCCACAGCAAGAAAATGCTTCAGCCATTTCTTAAGTAAATGCCTTATGAGAGAGCCAAGCATCACAGTTCAAATCTATAATGATAACTACATGGTACATTGAGTTTGGAGAATTGCTTCAGGCCAGGATTTCAAGACCAGCCTGGGTTATAAAGCAAGACCTTGTCTCCAAAATAAATACCTTTAAGAGAGCTTTGAGATCTAGGGAGGGAGTTGTGAAACTGCTGAAGCCCAAGATTGAGGAGTGTTCCTTTTCAGAGGGCAGGTCCTCACTCACATGGGAAACTACAGGACCCCTGGTCTTGGCTACAGATCAAGAAATGGCACAGTCAACTTGGTCTCACTGAGAATACTGAAGTTACTCTGAAGCCATTCCAAACTCCTCCCAGTTACAGTTTGGGAGAGGCTCTGCCCTTCGAGAGACCTGGAGGAAGATACCCATTTATAGCCATGTGGGCAGGACTACAGACCTTGGTCTTTACTGTGGTCCCTGAAGCAGTTCAATGACTCAGTTCCAGTTCCATGGGTAACAGTCCATGGCCAGTTCTGCCTACCTAAAACCCCACACAGTGACCTGTGGAAATTCTCTCTGGTACTCAGTGAAAGCCATACTCATTCACATCCTGATATAAGGGCCATTTTGTATGGAACTGACTGTAGAAACCTGCCCTAGTGTCTGCTCCACAGATAAAAGTCCTGAAGGATATTTAATCTACCAAAAAAAAAAAATTGAGAATTACAACTACCTAAGCTCTTTGTAACAAGTCAACTAAATGTGGACCCTAGTGCAGACCGAGAGCCTTGTGACCAAGCTACAACCCCACTCCACTACAAACCCAGGGGCATTTCAGAACCCTGGGAACCCAACAAAAGAATACTTTTACTTCCTAAAATAAATTTATGAAAACTTGAGGAGTCGTTTGCTTTTTCAAACTCACAGACACCCATATAAAACTATATTGTGGAGGCTGGGCACAATGGCTCAAGCCTGTAATCCCAACACTTTGGGAGGCCGAGGCGGGTGGATCACGAGGTCAAGAGATCACGACCATCCTGGTCAACATGGTGAAACCCCGTCTCTACTAAAAATACAAAAAATTAGCTGGGCATGGTGGTACATGCCCCTAATCCCAGCTACTCAGGAGGCTGAGGCAGGAGAATTGCCTGAACCCAGGAGGCGGAGGTTTCGGTGAGCCGAGATAGTGCCATTGCACTCCAGCCTGGGTAACAAAAGTGAAACTCCATCTCAAAAAAAAAAATGAACTAGAAATATGTGGCAGAATAATAAATAAATAAAAATTTTTTTAAAGCCATTGAAATTGAAGACAAATAAGGAAAAAGTTGCTGTTTCTGGAATAATCTCATACATAAAAAACCATAGACAGCTAAGCACAGTGGCACACGCCTGTAATCCAAGCACTTTGGGAGGGCAAGGTGGGCAAATCATGAGGTCAAGAGATCGAGAATATCCTGGCCAACATGGTGAAACCTCATCTCTACTAAAAGTACAAAAATTAGCTAGACATGGTGGTGCACATCTGTAGTCCCAGGTACTAGGGAAGGTGAGGGAGAATAGCTAGAACCCAGGAGGCAGAGGTTGCAGTGAGCCAAGATAACGCTATTGCAGTCCAGCCTGCTGATGGACTGAGATTATATCTCAAAAAACAAAAAAATAAAAGATACTACATTGAAATTTGGTGATACTAATAAATACACTCAGTAAATTAACAAAATAAAAAGTCTCTTTTTGGCCGGGCGTGGTGGCTCACACCTATAATCCTAGCACTTTGGGAGGCTGAGGTGGGTGGATCACCTAAGGTCAGGAGTTCAAGACAAGCCTAGCCATCATGGTGAAACCCCATCTTTACTTATTAAAAAAAAAAAAAATCTTTTTTTGTTTTTTGGTGACTGAGTCTCATTCTGTGGCCCAGGCTGGAGTGCAACGGCACAACCTCAGCTCACTGCAACCTCTGCTTTTCTAGTTCAAGCGATTTTCCTGCTTCAGACTCTCTAGTAGCTGGGATTATAGGTGCGGGCCAACACATGTGGCTAAAGTTTTATATTGTCAGTAGGACCATATAAGCCAGACTGGTCTTGAACTCCTGAACTCAAGTGATTCACCTGCCTTGGCCTCCAAAAGTGCTGGGATTACAGGCCTGAGGCACTGTGCCAGTCAAGAAAATAACCCTTTTTAAAATAGAATTAAAGATGGGTGCGGTGGCTCATGCCTGTAATCCCAGCAGTTTGGGAGGCTGAGATGAGCAGATGACGAGGTCAGGAGTTCAAGACCAGATGGCCAACCCCATCTCTATTAAAAATACAAAAATAATAATACTAATAACAAGCCGGGCATGGTCGTGGACACCTATAGTCCCAGCTACTTAGGAGGCTGAGGCAGGAGAATTGCTTGAACCCAGGAGACAGAGGTTGCAGTGAGCCGAGATCATGCCACTGCACTCCAGCCTGGGCAACACGGCAAGACTCTGTCTCAAAAATAAAAATAAAAATAAAAATAAAATGGAATTAAAATAATGAATTTCTAAGAGTTTAACCAAAGAGGCAAAAAAATATTTAGAATGAAAGATATAAATCAATAAAAGATACTGGGTGCAGTGGCTCACACCTGTAATCCCAGCACTTTTAAAGGTTGAGGCAGTGGGATGGTCTGAAGCCAGGAGTTCAAGAACAACGTGGCCTACATGGTGAAACCCTTTATCTACTAAAAATACCAAAAATTAGCTGGGGATGGTGATGGGCGCCTGCAATCCCAGCCACCCACGAGGCTGAGACAGGAGAACCACTTGACCCTGGGAGGCAGAAGTGAGCTAAGATTGTGCCACTGCACTCCAGCCTGGGAAATAAGAGGCAAACTCTGTCTAAAAAACAAACAAAAAAAATCAATAAAAGAAATTAGAGAAGACACAAATTTTAAAATATTTCATATTTACGGATTCAATGAATAAATTTTGTTAAAATACCATGTTCTCTATCCTACAGATTCCAAAAAATTCCTATCAAAATTCCAGTAGCATTTTTTTTGCAATAATAAAAACTACAATTTTAAAATTTACAAAAAACTACAATAAACTTCAAATAGCCAAAGCAATCCTAAGGAAAAAACAAATGCTGTGGGACAACATATGGATTACTTTATAATTTCAAACTATATTTTAAGAATGTAGTAATAAGGCTGGGCACCGTGGCTCACGCCAATAATCCCAGCACTTTGGGAGGCCGAGCGGGTGGATCACGAGGTCAAGAGATCGAGACCATCCTGGTCAACAAGGTGAAACCCCGTCTCTACTAAAAATACAAAAATTAGCTGGGCATGGCGGCGCGCACCTGTAGTCCCAGCTACTCGAGAGGCTGAGGCAGGAGAATTGCTTGAACCCAGCAGGCGGAGGTTGCGGTGAGCCGCGATCTCGCCATTGCACTCCAGCCTGGGTAACAAGAGCAAAACTCCGTCTCAAAAAAAAAGAACAGAGACGACTACTCTCACGCATTTTATACATGATGCAAAAAAGAGAACTAAAAAGATAATTTAACATAAGGTTTCTCAAAATCATGCAGATGTCTGTGTGATACCCCAAAACAATGAAAAAGCGGTCAGATTATGCAGTCTGTTCTATGCCATGAAGAGGACTTTGACTCTTACTGTAAACTTGAAAAAAGATCAGTGAAGGGAAAGTAGACGCCTTTGAAAATTTGAAAGCATAAGAGAGAAGATGGCTCTATGTGAGACCAACAACAACAAAACAAACGCCTGAGGCTTCCCAGAAACTATTTACTTTAGGACGCAGCTTCCCAAATCACATTGTAGGGACTGGCTTTTTTTTTTTTTTTTTTTTTTAATCTTCCAACTTTTCAACTATGTCAACTGTTTTATTCACTCTCACCTACCTGGGGGTTTGGCTACGATACTGTGTCTCTTCATATTCCAGAGATCTTTTCCTTGCTCCAGAAAGGTGATCAGATCTGCCTTAGAGACAGCAATACCTGCTTTATTAAAAATAAATTGCATGAATCTTGCTCACATTCTATAATTATCAATCTAGTATTGTGCTTGGTAAAGAGGATGTCATAGAATATTCTAGAAAATAATCTCAAAATACTATTTAATGACAGAAAGTTCTTAACATTTAGAAAATATTTTAAATTAGTAGGTTCTTAATTTCACTACACAGTACTCATGAGTCAAAAAGTAGTGGTGGCAAGTAATTTTTACATAGGGGCGACAATATTTTATACCACTAAATTTCTGAATTACCACTACTCTAGAGTGAAGGATGCAGACCAGCTCAGGAATGTAAAAAGTTCAGGCCAAAATAAAACATCTTAAAGAATTTTTTTCTACATGAACAATTCCTCAAGATTTTTTAAAAAACAGGAATTAGAAATTCATTTATGGAAAGCATAAATTACCAAAAAGTATTCTACACAAATAGAGAAATGAAACCTTTAGGGCATATAAGAAATTGTGTATTAAATTTATTCTCACCTAAGAAAGTCAGGTTCCTGTAGTTCTCTAACATCACTTGTCTATACAAATCTTGCTGTGCAGCATCCAGGTATTGCCACTCCTCCAGAGAGAATTCTATGGCCACATCCCTAAATGTCAACACTCCCTGAAAAACACACACACATACACATTTACAAGTGTCCATGGGCAGAATTTATTATTTAAGTTAAGGTTAAATGAGAGAGTAAAGAAAATTGTTTCTGACTTAAAGGAATGACTAAAATTATCCAATAATTTTTAATACAAAAATATTCTCTAATGTATTCTTTTTTTTTTTTTTTAAGACGGGGTTTAACCATGTTGGTCAGGCTGGTCTTGAACTCCTGACATCAGGTGATCCGCCTGCCTTGGCCTCCAAAGTGCTTGGATTACAGGCATGAGCCACCACACCTGGCCATGTATTCTCTAACTCTGAGCAAAGAGACTGTTATAACATCCACAACACCAGTGTAAAAAAATAGTTTTATGGGCCGGGCACAGTGGCTCAGGACTGTAATCCCAGCACTTTGGGAGGCCGAGGCGGGTGGATCACGAGGTCAAGAGATCTAGACCATCCTGGTCAACATGGTGAAACCCCGTCTCTACTAAAAATACAAATATTAGATGGGCATGGTGGCACATGCCTGTAGTCCCAGCTACTCGGGAGGCTGAGGCAGGAGAATTGCCCGAACCCAGGAGGCGGAGGTTGTGGTGAGCCGAGATCGTGCCATTGCACTCCAGCCTGGGTAACAAGAGTGAAACTCCGTCTCAAAAAAAAAAAATAGTTTTATGAAGAATAAAGTATAAAACTAAAGGCATAAACACAAACATGTATATTTTTAGTGCTATATTTGAATCACAAAGAGTGAGTCGTGCATACATTTCAGACAGAAAAGACATGTTGAATTAGAAGGCACCTTTTAAGGCCAGGTGAGGTGGTTTACACCTTTAATCCCAGCACTCTGGGGGCTGAGGTCAGAAGTCCAGCCTGGCCAGCATGGTGAAACACTGTCTCTACTAAAAATACAAAAAATTAGTGGGCATGGTGGCAGGCATCTATAGTCCCAGCTGCTTGGGATGTTGAGGCCAGAGAATTGCTTAAACCAAGCAGGTGGAGGTTATAGTGAGCCAAGATCTCACCACTGCATTTCAGCCTGGGCGACAGAGCCAAACTCAATCTTGAAAAAAACAAAAATCAAAAAAACAGCACCTCTTAAATTTTAATGTGTAAATTGAACTGGAGATCTTGGGCAGATTTTTTTTCTTTTAAGATTTGAGTGGGGCATGGTGGCTCATGCCTGTAATCCCAGCACTTTGGAAGGCCAAGGCAGGTAGATCACATGGTCAGGAGTTCCAGACCAGCCTGACCAATATGGTAAAACCCCGTCTGTACTAAAAATACAAAAATTAGCTGGGCGAGGTGGCATGTGCCTGTAATCTCAGCTACTCGGGAGGCTGAGGCAGGAGAATTGCTTAAACCTGGGAGGCGCAGAGGTTGCAGTGAGCCAAGATCACCCCATTGCACTCCGTCCTGGTGACAGAGTGAGACTCTGTCTATAAAATAAAACTCCTTTAAAAGAAAAGATCTGGCCGGACACGGTGGCTCACGCCTGTAATCCCAGCACTTTAGAAGGCCGAGGCGGGTGGATCACGAGGTCAAGAGATTGAGAGCATCCTGGTCAACATGGTGAAACCCCATCTCTACTAGAAATACAAAAAAAATTAGCTGGGCATGGTGGTGCATACCTGTAGTCCCAGCTACTCAGGAGGCTGAGGGAAGAGAATTGCCTGAACCCAGGAGGCGGAGGTTGTGGTGAGCCGAGATCGTGCCATTGCACTCCAGCCTGGGTAACAAGAGCGAAACTCCATCTCAAAAAAAAAAAAAAAAAAAAGCAAAAATTGACAAATGAAACCTACTTAAACTAAATAGCCTTTGCACAGCAAAGGAAAATATTAACAAACTAAGCAATCTACAAGATAATAAAAATTGCAAACTATTTTCTTAGAGTTTTAATATGCATAATTAAGACACTTAAATTTACAAGGAAACAACATACAACCACATTAAAAAGTAGGCAAAAAACGTGAACAGATATTTTTAAAAACACAAATATGTGGCTAGCAAAAATGTTTTTTAAAATGCTCATCACATTAGAGAAATGCAAACAAAACAAAACAAAAAATTACAATGAGATACCATCTCACATCAGTCAGAATGGCTGTTTAAAAATAATTAACAGTATCCAAATCATGGCACCAGGTGGAAAAATATTTAAAAATTAAAAAATTTTTTAAAAACTGAATAACAGGTCAGGCATTGTGGCTCCTGCCTGTAATACCAGCACTTTATGAGGCCAAGGTAGGCGGATCACAAGGTCAGCAGTTCAAGACCACCCTGGTCAAACCCGGTGAAGCCCATCTCTACTCAAAAAACAAACAAACAAACAAACAAACAAACAAAAATATTAGCTGGGCGCAGTGGCTTTCTCCTGTAGTCCCAGCTTCTTGAGAAGCTGAGGCAGAAAAATCGAGTTACCTGGGAGGCAGAGGCTGGGATCTCAGCTGGATCCACTGCTCTCCAGCCTGGGAAAAGAAGCAAGACTCAGTCTTAAAAAAAACAAAAACAGTACCACATAACTGTACCTAACTAGTTACTAAATTTGGTTTTCTTCATCATGCATTTTATAAAAGACTTTCCTTCTAGCCTCTCCCATAGACCACAAACTTAAAACTCGAGCTTTGAATGAAGAAACCACCAAACAGGCTTTGTGTGAGCAACATGGCTGTTTATTCACAGGGGTGCAGGTGAAGCTCCACTGGGTGATCAGTGATAATGGCGATTTGAGATAATGGGGAATGCAGGCGCGAGGTGGGAGGCGACTAGCTGAGGCTGGCAGAACTTCAGACTTTCTGGGTCTCGGCTTGCACGTGGAAGCCTGACACACACTTCAAAACATTGTGCTACAATTGTGCTACAATTCTAGAACCACTCTTTGATTAAATGCTTTAATATTTTTGCTGAGACTCCCATAAATTTTTAATAGGAGAAAATAGTAACTGGGAACCTCATGGAACAAAGCTCTTTCCATTCATGAATCCGCACCCCAAGTCAGGATTCTTCCCTGACGCTCCACCCATGGTCCCTGCACAATCCGGGAGAAACGCGGCGCTGTGGGTGCAAAGCTGCCCACAGAGAGCTCCAGGCCAGGGCAGAGTCATTGAGCAGGGAAGAGACAGGATGCCTGGAGCCGGCTATAGGTACAGCCGCCGTCTTATGGCTGAAGGGGACTGAAGCCGAGCTGGACAAGGACAACTCAGGCCCAGATTGTGGAGCTGACTGCAGGGAGGCCTGAGTCCCACCACAGACACTTCCCACCGGTTCCAACCAACTCCTTTCCTCTCTCGGGATGTCGGACCCAGCATTCTCACCATTTCTAGGCTTCCAGGGAGTCCCGGAGTCTTAGCTGTGGATCTCCCAACGCCTGCTGGTCACGGGGCCACAGAGGCTGGGCTTCTAGGAGCGAAGAACCAGAGGAGTGAAGAGGGGACCTGGAGCTCCGACTGCTGTGAGAGACAAAATGCCCGCCACATCCCTGAAGCTATGCTGTTGGTTCCAGCTGCGTGCCTGATTGGACGGTTCACAGCCCAGCGCTGCTGATTGGATAACGTTTAAAACACCACCCCCTCGGGCCCTGAGTGACAGAAAAGGTGATAAGATTTTGGGGTGAAGAAAGAACGACTGGGCTGCAGTCTTTTCAGGCAGGGCTTCCTCCCTGAGCTGAGCTGGGCCATTCAATCTTGTGTATAAGGTCATATGCATTTGTAAATATTATATTGCATGGCTATACATAAATGAAAAGAATATAATAACAAATGTTTTTAAATTTCAGCCTTTTTTTTTTTTTAATGGCCGGGCACAGTGGCTCACGCCTGTAATCCCAGCACTTTGGGAAGCCGAGGCAGGTGGATCACGAGATCAGGAGTTTAAGACCAGCCTGGCCAAGAGGGTGAAACCCCGTCTCTACTAAAAAACACAAAAATCAGCTGGGCGTGGTGGTACATACCTGTAATCCCAGCTACTCCGGAGTCTGTGGCAGAAAATTGCTTGAACCTGGGAGTAGGAGGTTGCAGTGAGCCAAGACGCTCCAACCTGGGCAAAAGAGCGAAACTTCGTTTCAAAATACATACATAAATTAATTAATTAAATAAAAATAAAATGTTACCTTTTTTACCTTCCTAGCTGTTAAAACGTGTGTGCTGAATGAACACACACCCTCAATAGGCTTTGTGTGAGCAACATGGCTGTTTATTCACCTGGGTTCAGGCGGGCTGGGGCCAAAAAGGGTATCAGCAGAGGACGCTGGGATAGGAGTTGGTTTTATAAGTTGGGGCAAGTGGTCAGTTAAAAGTGGTAATCTATTTTAGGGAGGCGAAGGGCGTCACGGAATGCATGGTCACAAGGGTAGGGGTCATCTCTTACAAACAGGCATGTTCATAAAGGTGGGGGGTATCGGTTGCAAGCAGAGGGGAAGGTGCGGTAAATTACATAGTTACAGGGGTGGGAGTCTTGAGAAACCCAATGTCCAGGGGGAAAATTCCGCAAGGCAGAGCAGGAATAATGGTTGCAGGTTGCAGGTTCCAGGTTGCAGGGGAAGAGCAATTAGTTGAGGCAGGCACAAGTTGTTTCACTTCTTCCTATGGCCACACAGTTACTTGTGGTTACCTCAGACTTTCTGGCTTCTGGGGACCATCCAGAGGTGTATGTGTGGGTCACCAAGTTTATAATAGCCAGGCTTGAACTGGAGGCCTACCACCGGCTTATGGTTCTTTGAACAGGCAGCCTGGGATTTTAAAAAGGAGGTAATCCTCTGAAATAAAATGTGAGCTACATGTGAGTTTTAAATTTTCTAGTAGCCAAACTTTAAAAAGAAACAAAGGGCTGGGTGCGGTGGCTCACGCCTGTAATCCCAGCACTTTGGGAGGCTGAGGTGGGCGGATCACCTGAGGTCAGGAGTTTGAGATCAGCCTGACCAATATGGTGAAACCCCATCTTTTTTTTTTTTTTTTTTTTTTTTTTTGAGACGGAGTTTCGCTGTTGTTACCCAGACTGGAGTGCAATGGCACGATCTTGGCTCACCGCAACCTCTGCCTTCTGGGTTCAAGCAATTCTCCTGCCTCAGACTCCCAAGTAGCTGGGACTACAGGCGTGCACCACTATGCCCAGCTAATTTTTTGTATTTTTAGTAGAGACGGGGTTTCACCATGTTGACCAGGGTGGTCTCGATTTCTTGACCATGTGATCCGCCCACCTCAGCCTCCCAAAGTGCTGATTACAGGCCAGAGCCACCATGCCAAGCCTACATGAGTAAGTTATTTAGTGGTGATCTGTGAGATTTTGGTGCACTCATCAGTGGAGCATTACGCACTGCACCATATTTGTAGTCTTTTATCCCTCACCCCTTCCCACTCTTTCCTCCAAATCCCCAAAGTCCACTGTATCATTTTTATGCCTTTGCATACTCATAGCTTAGCCCCCACACATCAGAACATACCATGTTTGGTTTTCTATTCCTGAGATAATTCCTGAGAGTAATAGTCCCCAATCTCAACCAGGTCACTGCAAATGCTGTTCATTCATTATTTTATGGCTGCATAGTATTCTAGCATATATATATGTTTGTGTGTGTGTATCCCACGGTTTCTTTATCTACTTGTTGATTGATGGGTGTTTGAGTTGCTTCCATGATTTTGCTATTGTGAATTGTGCCACTATAAACGTGTGTGCAAATATCTTTTTCCAATAATGATTTATTTTGCGGTGGGATGGCTGGATCAAATGGTAGTTCTACTTTAAGTTCTTTAAGGAATCTCCTCACTGTTTTCCATAGTGACTTTTCTACTTTACGTTTCCACCAGCAGTGTAGAAGTGCTCGCTGTTCACCCACCCCGGGGAGAAAGCCCTTCCTGAAAATTACTAGAGCCAAGAGCCTGTCACTCACGCCTTAGTCAGTGCAATGTCTGGTCCCATCTTCTGTCACTCAAGGCCTGAGGGTGCGGATTCTGGAGCTGTATCCATTCAGGGCGCTGGGGAGGAAACTGTCCAATCAGGTTCACAGTCAGATAGCAAGGGGCGGCTCCCAGTACCTGGCGGGGCCTTTGTTTCTTGCTTCAGTCAGAACTCCGGGTTGGTTCTTTACTACCCTGTGTCCTCTTTCTCGGAGGTCTCGGTGATTCTGCCACAGCCTCAGCCTCCATCGCTCTGTGACTTGACGGTGTTTGAAGATTCATGGACTCCAGGACATTCCTGAAGCCCAGCAATGGTGAGCGTGCGGGGCAGGGCGTCGTCCAGAGACTGGGGAGACCTCTTCGGAACCGGCTGTAAATGGCGGTGGCGGGACGGAGTCTGTGAGCCCGTTCCCCGTAGCTCAGTCCCGTCTCCTCTGATGCAGGGACCTGGGCGTCCTGTCCCGTTTCAGCACAGCGGCTTTAGCCCCATCCTGTGGTGCTCTCTGCGCAGCACTGCACCCGCAGCCCCGCATCTTCCCCAGGTTGTGAGGTGATGAGGGGAAGGTCACCAGGGAAAGACGCTGACTGGGTGTGCAGGGCTCCTGCGTAGAACAAGCTGTGGTCTGTGGGGTCCCCAGTCCTTACTTTACCCTGTTCGGAAATAAACTGAAGCAACATTAAAACATTAAAGAATTAGTATGGGCATGCACCGTGGTTCACTCCTGTAATCACAGCATTTAGGGAGACCGAGAGGGGTGTATCACGAGGTCAGGAGTTCAAGACCAGCCTGACCAACGTGGTGAAACCGCGTCTCTACTAAAAATACAAACATTGACGGGGCGCGGTGGCTCACACCTGTAATCCCAGCATTTTGGGAGGCCGAGGCGGGCGGATTTGCCTGAGGTCAGGAGTTTCAGACCAGCCTGACCAACGTGGAGAAACCTCGTCTCCACTAAAAATACCAAAAAAAAGAAAATTAGCCGGACGTGGTGGCCCACTTCTGTAATCTCAGCTACTTGGGTTACTAGGGCAGAAGAATCGCTTGAACCCGTGGGGCAGAGGCTGCGGTGAGCCAAGATCGCGCCACTGTGCTCCAGCCTGCTTGATAGCAATACGCCGTCTCAGAAAAAAAAAAAAAAAAAAAAGTCATAATATGTACAAACAGTGATTAACCAATGGGACACTTCCTGGAAATGGTTTATGGGTTTGTTTGGTTTTGTTTTGAGAGGCAGTTTCGCTCTTGTTGCCCAGGCTGGACTGCAATGGTGTGATCTCGGCTCACCGCAACCTTCGCCTCCGGGGTTCAAGTGATTCTTCAGCCTCACCCGCTGGAGTAGCTGTGATTACAGACCTGCACCAGCATGCCGGCTAATTTTGTATTCTTAGTAGAGACTGTGTTTCTCCATGTTGGTTAGGCTGGTCTCGAACACCGAACCCCAGCTGATCCGCCACTTCAGCCTCTCAAAAGTGTGGGGATTACAAGCGAGAGCCACCACGACTGACTGACTGTGATTTTGGGGCTACCAGAGGGTCTTGAAGAAAAGGCTGCCATAGGGCATGTGAGGAAGCAAAGCAAATTAAATAAGTGGTCGTGTACAGTCAGGTAGTTACTTCCTTTGCCCTGTCCAGGAGAACATTTTTTGATATGTAATCAGATTAATTGGAGTTTTATGGTTGATTAAGCCTGAATTTTGCCTTCTCTTAAGGTGGTAACTTACAAAAAAGACATTTGAGCTAAATTTTATTGTTGCTATTGTATAGGAACCTAGACCACCAGCGTCACTTCAGTGGAATTACCTGCTATTTAATTATTTTAACATTAATCAGAGGCACTGGTGTCCCCCTGCATTTTCCAAATGTGTGGCAAACAGGGTATCAAATCCACTCTCTGTTCTGTTCTGTCTTGCCAGGATTTGCCAGGCTTCTAGTAAAATCTATTTTTTTTTATCTTTTTTTGAGACCCAGTCTTTCTCTGTCACCCAAGCTGGGGTGGATTAGCGCAATCTCAGCTCACTGCAACCTCTGCCCCCCAGATTCAAGTGATTCTCATGCCTCAGACTCCTGAGTAGCTGGGACTACAGGTGTGTGCCACCACCCCTGGCTTGTTTTTTGTATTTTCATTAGAGATGGAGTTTCACCTTGTTAGCCAGGATGGTCTCAATCTCCTGACCTTGTGATCTGGCCGCCTCGGCCTTCCAAAGTGCTGGGATTACAGTCGTGAGCCACTGTGCCCAGCTGCAATAAAATCTTAAATTCCCAATTTCTTTCCAGCATTCCCCGAAGCCAACTTCTCCCCTTCAATTCACAACACTATCAACTGTTTTTGTCCTTTATTGTACCTTTCAGAAACAGTATTTTAATTAATCAACTTTTCACAGAGCAATGGATGACACTTTTAAAAATACTTGATTTCACCAGGTGCTGTGGCTTATGCCTATAATCCCAGCACTTTGGGAGGCCAAGGCAGGTGGATCATGAGGTCAAGAGATCGAGACCATCTTGGTCAACAAGGTGAAACCCCGTCTCTACTAAAAATACAAAAATTAGCTGGGCATGGTGGTGCGTGCCTGTAGTCCCAGCTGCTCGGGAGGCTGAGGCAGGAGAATTGCTTGAACCCAGGAGGCGGAGGTTGCGGTGAGCCAAGATCATGCCATTGCACTCCAGCCTGGGTAACAACAGCGAAACTCTGTCTCAAAAAAAAAAAAAAAAAAACTTGATTTCTGTTTGTAAATACTTTACATGAGAGAAAAGTAAAAAATAGTCCCTTTAAATTCCACTGTCAAAAATCTTCCTGCTTTTTTTTCTTTTATTTTCCATAGGCACAAATATGCCTTACCAGGACATCTTTGAATTGAGGTTTTCCTTTGGAAACTTGATGGGGCCATGTGTGCTCAGGCACACTCTGGTCGTTTTTTAGTCTTGAGTTCTGGAACTGTCTTTAGTATTTCTGTTTTTTGGGGTGACAGTCTCACTGTGTCAACCAGGCTGGAGTGCAGTGGTGCGATCTCGGCTCAATGCAATATCCACCTCCTGAGTTCAAGCAATTATCTGCCTCAGCCTCCTCCAGAGTAGCTGGGATTACAGGCACCCACCACCACACCCAGCTAATATTTTTTGTATTTTTAGTAGAGATGGGGTTTCTCCATGTTGGTCAGGCTGGTCTGAAACTCCTGAACTCAGGTGATCTGCCTGCTTCAGCCTCCCAAAATGCTGGGATTGCAGATGTGAGCCACCACACCCAGCCTGTAGTTTATTTTCCTTTATTATTTTTTTGAAATGGCATCTTCATCTGTCGTCCGGGCAGGAGTGCAGTGATGTTATCTTGGCTCACTGCAAACTCGACTTAAAAGAGTCCTTTCTGGCCGGGCGCGGTGGCTCAAGCCTGTAATCCCAGCACTTTGGGAGGTCGAGGCGGGTGGATCACGAGGTCAAGAGATCGAGACCATCCTGGTCAACATGGCGAAACCCCGTCTCTACTAAACATACAAAAATTAGCTGGGCATGGTGGCGCGTGCCTGTATTCCCAGCTACTCAGGAGGCTGAGGCAGGAGAATTGCCTGAATCCAGGAGGCGGAAGTTGCAGTGAGCCGAGATCGCGCCATTGCACTCCAGCCTGGGTAATAAGAGCGAAACTCCGTCTCAAAAAAAAATAAATAAATAAAGAGTCCTTTCTATCTTCTGAACCAATCAAATGACAACTAGTTTTAAAAAATAAATGTAGGGGCTGGGCGCGGTGGCTCAAGCCTGTAATTCCAGCACTTTGGAAGGCCGAGGCGGGTGGATCACGAGGTCAAGAGATCGAGACCTTCCTGGTCAACATGGTGAAACCCCGTCTCTACTAAAAATACAAAAACTTAGCTGGGCACGGTGGCGCGTGCCTGTAATCCCAGCTACTCAGGATGCTGAGGCAGGAGAATTGCCTGAACCCAGGAGGCGGAGGTTGCGGTGAGCCGAGATTGCGCCATTGCACTCCAGCCTGGGTAACAAGAATGAAACTCTGTCTCAAAAATAAATAAATAAATAAATAAAATAAATTAAAATAAATTTAGGCTGGGTGCGGTGGCTCACGCCTATAATCTCAGCACTTTGGGAGGCCGAGGCGGGTGGATCACGAGGTCAAGAGATCGAGACCATCCTGGTCAACAAGGTGAAACCCCGTCTCTACTAAAAATACAAAAATTAGCTGGGCATGATGGTGCGCACCTGCAGTCCCAGCTACTCAGGAGGCTGAGGCAGGAGAATTACTTGAACCCAGGAGGTGGAGGTTGCGGTGAGCCGAGATCGTGCCATTGCACTCCAGTCTGGGTAACAACAGCGAAACTCTGTCTCAAAAAAATAAATTTATTGCTGAGGCAGCCCTTCATAGAAAGCTGCAGAAACAGGCCCTGGGGACCAAATAGTACTCTTGAGAACCTCCTGAAAGTGGTCACCTCAGCCTTTTATAACCGAGATAGGAAGGCCCAGGAGAGAGGCAGGAAACACAAGAAAAGGCAGAGGCTTTAGTCTTACCATACAAGCCCACAAACTCCAGAATCCTTGAGGTGCACCTGTTAACTGCTCTACATGTGGTAAGCCAGGGCTTTATAGGAAGGATGGCCCAGGCAGCATGAGGAAGCCACGTTGATCCTGTCCAATCTGCATTGGAAACCACTGGAATGAGGACTGTCCTGGGGATGCTGGTCACAAGGTACAAGGCTAATCTCCCAAATGACTCAGCAGGACTGACAGGCCTCAGGGCTCCTCTCCCTGGCTCTGGTAGTCCAGACAACCATTATCAACCAAGCTTTGGGTGATTCTGGAAATCGAAGGGAGAAAAGTGGACATCCTCCTGGACACTAGGGCTGGCCTTCTGGGTTCAAGTGATTCTTCTGCTTCAGCCTCCTCAGTAGCTGGGACCATAAGCACACACCACCATGCTGGCTAATTTTGTATTTTCAGTAGGGACAGGGTTTTACCATATTGGCCAGCTGGTCTCAAACTCCTGACCTTGTGATTCTCCCAACTCAGCCTCCCAAATTGCTTGGATTACAGGCGTGAGCCACAGCGCCTTGAAGGATGGACTATTTTAAAAGATGTAGCGTAAATTGTGTTTATGCATTTTCTATTAATCTGTATTTGTTTTGTTTCGTTTTGTGTTCTGAGATGGAGCCTTGCTCTGTTTCCCAGGTTGGAGTACAATGGCGTGATTTCAGTTCTCTGCAACCTCTGCTTCCTGGGTTCAAGCAATTCTCCTGCCTCAATTTTCTAAGTAGCTGGGATTACTCCTCACCTTAGGTGATCCACCCACCTCGGCCTCCCAAAGCACAGGGATTACACGTGTGAGCAACCAAGCATGGCCTAACATATATTTGTTGTTATGAATACTTATCTGTGAAAGAAAAAGAAATCTCAGGACCCCAAAATCACTAAGCCAATGGAAAAGTCAAGGTGGAAATTGTCACGCAAGCCTGTCTCCCATTTTATTTCTAAATAAGATAGCTGCAAATATAAAAAACTACATACTTCCAGGCATGGTGGCTCACACCTGTAATCGCAGCACTTTCAGAGGCTGAGGTGGGTGGATCATTTGAGTTCTGGAATTTGAGACCAGCCTGACCAACACAGTGAAATCCCATCTCTACTAAAAGTACTAAAAAATTAGCTGGGCATGGTGGCACATGCCTGTAGTCCCATCTACTTGGGAGTCTGACACAGGAGAATCTTGATTCTTAAATATACTTGAGTATACTCAGGAATCGCTTGGTGGAGGTTGCAGTGAGCTGAGATTACTCCAATGCACTCCAGCCTGAGCAACAGAGTAATACTCCGTCTCAAAAGAGTAATACTCCGTCTCAAAAACACAACAAAATGAAAAAAAAAATTGTATATACCTTTCTCACAATTTGCTTGCCAAGAAATTTCTTGTGAACAAAGAACAGACAGAACTCAAAATCATCCTTCTGAGGCTCACCTAAGACAAATGCAGATCTGATAGCTTTTTTACCCTATTGTTAATGTAAGAATGCAGATTCACTGGGCCAAAGTACATTCTGTATTCAGTGGAAGGCTAATCAAAGGCTCAAAAGAATGAAACCTTTTGGCTCTTACCTACTTATAACCTGAAAGCCCCCACCTCTAGTTGTCCTGCTTACTGGATCAAACCAACATTCATCTTACACATATTGATTGATGTCTCATGTCTGCCTAAGATGTATAAAAGTAACCTTGGGCACATGTCTTCAGGACCTCCTGGGACTGTGTCACATGCCTATCCTTTACATTGGCAGAATAAACTTTCAGTATTAATCAAGACCTGTCTCATATACCTTTTGGGTTACACAGTCAAGGTCCTACTAGCTAGTGAATCCCTGATTGAAGCACCACCATTACAGGTACTCTTGTTTTTGTTTTTTTGAGATGGAGTTTTGCTTTTGTTGCCCAGGTTGGAGTGCAACGTCGTGATCTCAGCTCACTGCAACCTCTGCCTCCTGAGGTTCAAGTGATTCTCCTGCCTAAGCCTCCCGAGTAGCTGGGATTATAGGCATGCATCACCATGACTGGCCAATTTTGTATTTTTAGTAGAAACGGGGTTTCTTTATGTTGGGCTCGAACTCCCGACCTCAGGTGATCCGCCCACCTCGGCCTCCCAAAGTGCTCAGATTACAGGAGTGAGCCACCGCGAATGGCCAGGACTTTATTATTTTTTTTTAAATAACAAGTGTTTTATTTTGATATCGGGTAGGCTGGGGTGTACCTGAGACAGTAGCACTAAGCTTTTGGGAGTTGTGAGATATACCAAGCAGCAGCTTCCAGCCAGTCTAGACTGTGACTGTTTAAAATTCTTTTTCTTTTTTCAAGATGGAGTTTTATTTTTATCACCCAGACTGGAATGCAGTGGCACAATCTCCGCTGACTGTAACCTCTGCCTCCTGGGTTCAAGTGATTCCCTTGTCTTAGCCTTCCAAGTAGCTGGGATTACAGGTGCCTGCCATCAGGCCTGGCTAATTTTTTTTTTTTTTTTATAGAGACGGGGTTTCACCATGTTGACCTGGATGGTCTCGATCTCTTAACCTCGTGATCCACCCGCCTCGGCCTCCCAAAGTGCTGGGATTACAGGCTTGAGCCACCGCACCCGGCCTGGCCTGGCTAATTTTTTTTTCTATCTTTATTAGAAACAGGGTTTCACCATGTTGGCCAGGCTTGTTTCGAACTCCTGGCCTCAAGTGATCTGCCTGCCTTGGCCTCCCAAAGTGCTGCGATTACAAGCATGAGCCACCGTGTCCAGCCTGTTTAAAATTCTTTAGAGTAGTATGAAGAGAGGAATAAACAGTTTCTGAATGCTAACAATGGCTGTTAGTACATTCTAGGGTAGTACAAGGTGGTCAGGCTGTGGTTCTTGGTTTTTCTGTGGCTCCTCTTTCAGTGGCTGGTGGAGTGGTTTTATTGGTTCTGTGATACAGTATGAATGTCTGTAAGGGCAGTTAAGCACAGGGTGGAAAAGGAGGTAGAAGCCAGGGCTGTGGAGGTACCTCCGGGTATTATTTTTGCTTAGCAAATATATATATATACATATATACATACATATATATATATATATATATATATTATTATTTGAGATGGAGTCACTCTATCACCAGGCTGGAGTATGGTAGCACGATCTTGGCTCACTGCAACCTCCCCCTCCCAGGTTCAAGTGATTCTCCTGCCTCAGCCTCCCTCATAGCTGAGACTACAGGTGCACGCCACCACGCCCAGCTAATGTTTGTATTTTTAGTAGATACGGAGTTTCGCCATGTTGGCCAGGATGGTCTCCATCTCCTGACCTTGTGATCTGCCCACATCAGCCTCCCAAAATGCAGGGATTAAAGGTGTCATCCACAATACCCAGTCCACAATTTTTATTTGAATTTGTTTCTTGTTAATGATTTATGTGTTTTGAGCAAGGCAAAGATGAGAAAAGTAGCTCAGATAAGTCTCAGCTCTTTGAAGTCTGATCAATTTATCAAGCCTAGAGATGAGAGTATGAGACTTCTATCTCACTCCACATCTGTGCCCAGGGGCAATTGTTTAAAGATATTTTGTTGGCCGAGCGAGGTGGCTCAAGTCTGTAATCCCAGCCCTTTGGGAGGCCGAGGCAGGTGGATCACAAGGTCAAGAGATCGAGACCATCCTGGTCAACATGGTGAAACCCCGTCTCTACTAAAAATACAAAAAATTAGCTGGGCATGATGGCACGTGCCTGTAATCCCAGCTACTCAGGAGGCTGAGGCAGGAGAATTGCCTGAACCCAGGAGGCGGAGGTTGCGGTGAGCCGAGATCGTGCCATTGCACTCCAGCCTGGGTAACAAGAGCAAAACTCCGTCTCAAAAAAAAGAAAAGATATTTTGTTTCTGACTAGATGTCTCACTCATTTCTTTTTTCCTAAAATGTGTAAAACAAAGAAATGTATATCCAATTTAAAAAAAAGAAATATATATCTAATCAATACCAAATCAATTTACCAAGAATTTTAATGTCAATTCTTGGCAAACAAATTAGAAACTGCCTTGCCTTGTTTCAAAGACCAGCCTGTAATGGTTACTACTTGGAATATATATTCGGGGTAACTTAAATCTAGTATTTGCTGGCCATCCTTAATATCTGACCTTAAATAAATTTCTTTTAGAGTCTAACCTTTTTGATTATTTTAGGTTACGTGGGGTCTTGCCTGAAGTACACTCCTAGATGAAAATAGTCCAACCATGAGCCACCTTCTCATCAGATGAGAGAAAATTAAAGCTATTAAACTCCTCAAGGCCCAGTGACTATCACAGAAGAGGTGGACATGTAAGACTGTAATAACTGATGCAAGACCAGAATGGGGGCTCCTGTGTAAGATTAATGAGGTCTTCTTGAAGCACTGACTCCTTAATAAAGGTTCTAAAATGCTTATATAAGTTATATCTTATGGTCAAAATTAGAATTTTATAGATTGTTTATAACATTTTGAAAAACAAATTTAATTAGCTTCATGCTGTTTTATTAAAGATTATTGTTTGGCAAATTAAGTCTTCTCTCCCAAAGAATGTTTTTTTTTCCCCCTTTGGAAATCTTTAAGTTATCACTTTGGTTAAATAAATGACTTATTTAAAAATGACCTGTAGGCTGGGCATAGTGGGTCACGCCTGTAATCCAAGCACTTTGGAGGCCAAGGGGGGGGCGGATCACCTGAGGTCGGGAGTTCAAGACCAGCCTGACCAACATGGTGAAACCCCGTCTTATTTATAAAAAAAAAAAAAAAATGACCTGTAATATCAAGTGTTTTCAACCTTTGCTATCTGACTGAGAGTCTTTCTGTGAAACAAAGTTCCTTCAAACTTTCCAAAATCAAATTATGTTATATATTTCTCACCTAATTAGTTCTTTAAAATATTGTTTCCTAAAGTGTAAAGATGACATAATTATGCTTATTTCTTTTCTTTTCTTTTTTTTTTTTTTTTTTGAGATGGCGTTTCGCTCGTTACCCAGGCTGGAGTGCAATGGCGCAATCTCGACTCACCACAACCTCCGCCTCCTGGGTTCAGGCAATTCTCCTGCCTCAGCCTCCTGAGTAGCTGGGATTACAGGCATGCGCCACCATGCCCAGCTAATTTTTTGTATTTTTAGTAGAGACGGGGTTTCACCATGTTGACCAGGATGGTCTCGATGTCTTGACCTCGTGATCCACCTGTGTTGGCCTCCCACAGTGCTGGGATTATAGGCTTGAGCCACTGCGCCCAGCAATTATGCTTATTTCTTATAAAAAAAAAACATACAAAAAGCATCATATATGTAATAGTGTTTGCTTTTCTTTGGGCTGTGTTTGTATAAATACATTATTGGTACATGTTCCAAAATTTGGGGGAACGCTTTTTATTTTTTTAAAGATGGGGTTTCATTCACCATGTTGGCCGGGCTGGTCTTGAACTCCGGACCTCAAGTGATCCTCCCACCTCGGCCTCCCAAAGTGCTGGGATTACAGGCATAAGCCACCACACCCAGCTGGGGGAACTCTTATAACTCTTATATGACTTAATATACATTATCAGCAATCATTGTAATTTTTATGTTAAGTTATTGTGTGCCACAGAGGTAACAAACTTCCTTAATTCTGTCTTTGACTATGGCTGTCCTAAAACTTTTTGTCATTCATAGACAATTGTATTGTTTTGGTTCTCTTTAGAAGGTGGTTTTATAATCAGCTGTAAAACTCGAACAGGTACTCTTGAATGCAAGTTTCTGATAACTTTGGAGATTGTGAAATCAGAGTAGAGAAAAAAATTTCAGGACTTGTGGAGAGTTGAAAAGTTCATGAATATCAAGCAGAACAAGGATTAACTGCATCTACTGAAATAATATAAAATTGAAATAATTTTTTTTTTTTTGAGACGAAGTCTCGATCTGTCAACAGGCTAGAGTGCAATGGCATGAGATCAGCTCACTGAAACCTCTGCCTTCCGGGTTCAAGCAATCCTCCTGCCTTGGCATCCTGAGTACCTGGGACTAGAGGTGGGTGCCACCACGCCCAGCTAATTTTATGTATTTTGAGTAGAGATGGAGTTTCACCATGTTGGCCAGGATGGTCTTGATCTATTGAACTAATGATCCGCCCACCTCAGCCTCCCAAAGTGTTGGGATTACAGGCATGAACCACTGCGCCTGGCCAATAATCTGGTTTTTATAAGTAACAGGGCACAATTGGAGAAACTGGTTATTTTACCAAGGTTTTGACTGGCATGGTGTTGTTTCTTAAAAAAATCAAACTTGATTTATGGAGTCAATGATAGTCCCTTGGGAAAACTGAAATCTTGCCTACATAGTCCCTGTCCTATGACATTTTGTACTTATCAGGATTTCTGACCTGTGGTAAGTAAAAAATAACACTTTCTGAAAAATTCAGGAGCTCCAGGTTTATCTTGAATTCTCAAGAGGAGAGAAATTCACCCAACTCAGGTTGGTACAATTATACAAATCCATGGCTGGGCTTGGCTTTTAAATACTTTTTTTTTTCTACCTGTGCTTCCTGAGTTCAAGAGATTCTCCTGCCTCAGCCTTCCAGGTAGCTGGGATTACAGGCATGCGCCATCATCCTTGGCTAATTTTTTTGTAGAGGCAGTGTTTCTCCATGTTGGTCAGGCTGCTCTCAAACTCCTGACCTCAGGCGATCTGCTTGCCTCGGTCTTCCAAAGTGCTGGGATTACAGGTGTGAGCCAGTGACTCCATCAAGAGATTGTTTTTTATTAGTTGGGCATGATTTATGATCTTTTCTATAGAAAACTAAAGATAGTAAAATGTAAGGTACATAATGAAAATCTAAGTTGAGAGGCTTTTTGGGGTTAGATTATAATATAGAGTGAAACAAGAGGTAGGTGTTCAGACTAATCTGCATTATGAGAAGAAAACATGTTGAAGTATTTTACAAATCAAATTGGTATTGTATTTCTGTACTAATTCTACTTTTATATATTATATAAATTTGTATACATAAAAATTTTATAAAATATTAAATTTTATAACATGTATTTTATGATAAAAATATAAAATTTGGCTGGGCACGGTGGCTCAAGCCTGTAATCCCAGCACTTTGGGAGGCCGAGGCGGGTGGATCATGAGGTCAAGAGATCGAGACCATCCTGGTCAACATGGTGAAACCCCGTCTCTACTAAAAATACAAAAAATTAGCTGGGCATGGTGGCACGTGCCTGTAATCCCAGCTACTCAGGAGGCTGAGGCAGGAGAATTGCCTGAACCCAGGAGGCGGAGGTTGCAGTGAGCCGAGATTGCGCCATTGCACTCCAGCCTGGGTAACAAGAGCTGAAACTCCGTCTAAATATATATGTATATAATTTGATAAAATATAATATTTGAACCTCTGGTTATATAAAATTTTATATAATTTACAAAATTATATAAAATTATAAAAATATGTAAAATTATATACAGATGCAGTACTTTTAAAACATTTTAGATTGTGAAATTAATAGTGCAATTGAACATTTAAAAATGTTAAATAGTATTTTACATGCAGTGAGGTGTTATTATGCCACAAACTATCCTCTTCCACTTTACTCAAGGGTGTAGGTAAAAGATGGTAACAATATGCTATTTAGCAGCATAATGGCTGAATATCTCTAGTGATTTTTTTGTGTCAGTAGCCTTCAACTGCAAATAAGTTAAAGAATATTGTTTCTGTAGGATAAATTTTTATTCCGTTTTCAATCATTTAAATTTATTTTAATTTTGACATACTTTTAAAAAATTTCTAAGAAGCATGTCACTGGTAATGTCATAGAGGTTGCATTATATCTGTAGATCATTTTGTGTAATACAAATATTTAACTATTAAAATGCCAGTTCATGAATGAGTAATAATATTTCATTATGTATTACTTAATTTCTATCACATCCTTTAGAGTTGAATGTATTGTTGTTATAACCTTTATGAAATCTCACCAACATGATTTCTTTTATGGTTGGAAAAGTTTGAGGTGTGGTCAAAAGCATTGTCATGTTTCTGCTTTGTAGAGTTTCTCTCCAGTATGAATTATCTCATGTCTTTTAAGAACTGAGGATTAGTTAAAGGCTTTGCCATATTTTTGACACTCATAGGGTTTCTTTACAGTGCGAATTTTCTTATGTTTAGTAAGATATGAGTACTGGTTAAAAGCTTTGTCACATTCATCACATTTGTAGAGTTTTTCTCCTGTATGAATACTCTTAGGTCTAGTAAGGTATGAGGATAGGATAAAGCTTTTGCCACATTCTTCACATTTGTAGGGTTTCTCTCCAGTATGAGTTATTTTATGATTAGTAAGGTGTGAGGACTGTTTAAAATCTTTGCCACATTCTTCACATTTATAGGGTCTCTGTCCAGTATGAATTATCTTATGTTTACTAAGGGTTGAGAATACATTAAAGGCTTTGTCACATTCTTTACATTTGTAGGGTTTCTCTCCTGTATGAATTCTCTTGTGTCTAGTAAGGTATGAGGATAGGGTAAAGCCTTTGCCACATTCTTCACATATGTGGGGTTTCTCCCCTGTATGAATTCTCTTATGTCTAGTAAGGTGTGCATGCCGGTTAAAAGCTTTGCCACATTCTTCACATTTGTAGGGTTTCTCTCCAGTATGAATTCTCTTATGTGCAGTAAGGTATGAAGATAGGGTAAAGGCTTTGCCACATTCTTCACATTTGTAGGGTTTCTCTCCTGTATGAAATTTCTTATGATTAGTGAGATTTAATGACTGTTTAAAAGCTTTCCCACATTCTTCACATTTATAAGGTTTCTCTTCAGTATGAATTATCTTATGTTTAGTAAGGTGTGAGGACCGATTAAAAGCTCTTCCACATTCTTCACATTTGTAGAATTTCTCTCCAGTATGAATTTTTTTATGTCTACTAAGAGTTGAGGAATCCTTAAAAGCTTTTCCACATTCTTTACATTTGTAAAATTTCTCTGCAGTATGAACTCTCCTGTGTGTACGAAGGGCTGAGACCCAGGAAAAGGTTTTGCCACATTCTTCACATTTGTAGGGTTTCTCTCCTGTATGCATTATTTTATGTCTATTAAGAGTTGAGGAATCCTTAAAAGCTTTTCCACATTCTTCACATTTGTAAAATTTCTCCGCAGTATGAACTCTCTTATGTGTATGAAGGGCTGAGACCCAGGAAAAGGCTTTGCCACATTCTTCACATTTATAGGGTTTCTCTCCTGTATGAATTATCTTATGTCTAGTAAGGTATGAGGATAGGATAAAGCCTTTGCCACATTCTTCACATTTATAGGGTTTTTCTTTAGTATGAATTATCTTATGTGTAGTAAGGGTTGAGAATACACTAACGGCTTTGCCACATTCTTCACGTTTGTAGGGTTTCTCTCCAATATAAAATTTCTTATGATTAATAAGGTTTAAGGACTGTTTAAAAGCTTTGCCATATTCTTCACATTTGTAAGGTTTCACTCCAGTATGAATTATCTTATGTTTACTAAGGTTTGAGGACTGGTTAAAAGCTTTTCCACATTGTTCACATTTGTAGAGTTTCTCTCCAGTATGAATTATCTTATGTCTACTAAGAGTTGAGGAATTCTTAAAAGCTTTTCCACATTCCTCACATTTGTAGAGTTTCTCTCCAGTATGAATTATCCTGTGTCTACTAAGACTTGAGAAATGCTTGAAACCTTTTCCACATTCTTCACATTGGTAAGAATTCTCTCTAATATGAATTCTTTTATGTTGACTTAGGTGTAAAAGCATACAAAATGATTTGCCACATTTTTTACATTTGAAAGGTTTCTTTCCAATATGTCTTGTCTTATGTCTATTTGAATTTAGCAATTTAAGAAAGACTTTCACATATTCATCACATTGAAATATTTTGCTTCTGTTAGCTGTCAAACACTGGTTTAGTTCATTATAACCTGCTTTGTGCACATTAAACTTCTTCACACTTTTACAGCCTTTTCTTAACTGTAAATCCTTATGTCCACATTTTTCATATTCTCTCAGTACCACTTTTTGAAAAGAATCTTTTATTCCTGGTCTTGGCCAAAGGTCTTGGCCAAAATGAGAACACAGAACTGAAAGAAATAAAAATAACAAATTACTTCACTTATAGGCTGAGATAAATATACATTATAAATCTAACCTGTAACATCATACAAACTACGTAAGTAAGATAGCATAGCAAAACATACTAACCAAAATACATCTGAGTAGAAATTATAAATGAATTGTTTCAAGTGCCCCAGGTGAGCAAAGTGCAAAAGGCACATAGAAGAAGAAGAAGAAAAGAAACAATTTGTTATATTTACCCAGCACAGCTCTTTTTAATTTTTTTTTTTTTTGAGACGGAGTTTCACTCTTGTTGCGATCTCGGCTCACCGCAACCTCCGCCTCCTGGGTTCAGGTAATTCTCCTGCCTCAGCCTCCTGAGTAGCTGGGATTACAGGCACACAACCATGCCCAGCTAATTTTTTGTATCTTTAGTAGAGACGGGGTTTCACCATGTTGACCAGGATGGTCTCGATCTCTTGACCTCGTGATCCACCCGCCTCGGCCTCCCAAAGTGCTGGGATTACAGGCGTGAGCCACTGCGCCCGGCATAATTTTTTTTAAGTAAAATATAAACACAAAATTTCAGACAAGACACATTCTAAGAACAGGTTTGAGAGACTCTTAGAATCTCTGACCCAGACAATTGTTCAAAGTATGTGAGGAGAAAGCCATATTACAAAGATTGGGACAGGTTAACTTTAATGTTCACATTTTAATAAAAGATTAAAATGTATATAAGAAAGGGCAATGTGGTTTCGAGAAAAATATAAAATTTTCAGAAAGAAATAAAAATTGATGTATATGTTAATTTTAAAAATTAAAAATAAATTAATAGTGAGTGAACTGTGAACACAGAGAACTATACAAAATCAAAAATGTGTAAATAACAAAAATATTCAAAATATTAAAAAAAAAAAAAACAGCCCAGGTGTGGTGGCTCACACCTGTAATCTCAGCACTTTGGGAGGTCAAGGTGGGCCGATCACAAGGTCAGGAGATTGAGATCATTTTGCCCAACATGGTGAAACACCTTCTCTACTAAAAATACAAAAATTAGCTGAGTATTGTGGCAGGTGCCTATAATCACAGCTACTTGGGAGGCTTAGGTAGGAGAATTGCTTGAACCAGAAAGGCAGAGATTACAGTGAGCCAAGATCACACCACTGCATTCCAGCCTGGTAACAGATTGAGACTTCATCTAAAAAAAAAAAAAACAAAAAACAGAAATTAACTATTTTAAAAGTCACAGAAAAGAGAATCTTAGAAGCTGTGAGATAAAAGTGATGTGTTGGCTGGGAGTATACCTTGTACATGTAAACCCAGCACATTGGGAGGTTGAGGCAGAGTATCACCTAAGGTTGCTAATTTAATAACAGCCTAACCAACATGGAGAAACTCTGTACCTACTAAAAATACAAACTTATTTAGGCTCTAACTAAGTTTGTATGTGGTGGTGTATCCCTGTAATCCCACCAACTCAGAATGAGGCAGAAGAAACACTTGAACCTGAGATGCAGAGGTTTTGGTGAGCTGAAATTGTTCCCATTGCACTGCAGCCTGATCAAGAAGAGTGAAACCCCACCCCCACCAAAACAAATGAAAAAAAAAAAAAAAAAACTAAAAATGTACCAATACATAGACATAAAACACACTCATCAGCATGCTCTTGTTAAAGGGTTGAAATAATATCTTGAAGATGTTCATAATGTTCAATGTAATGTACAGAATAAATACAATGTTTTTCAAAATTTCTCATTCCATTTTTGAGGAAATAAAAGTAGCAACCTCACAAGTTTATGAAATCTCAAGAGACAATGAAGTACCCAACAGTCTTCAAAAGAAAAAACAATGATAAAGGCATTACAGTTTCTGATTTGAAAACACGTTACAGGATGTTTTTGAGAGAGGGGGCTAAAAAAGAAAAAACATTACAGGCCAGGCATAGTGGTGCATGCTTGTAATCCCAGCACTTTGTGAGGGTGAGGTGGGTGGATCACCTTAGGTCAGAGGTGAACATGGTGAAACCCCATCTCTACTAAAAATTCAAAAAAATTAGTTAGGTGTAGTGGTAGGCACCTGTAATCACAGCTACTGAAGACCTGAGGCACAAAAATAGCTTGAACCTGGGAGGCGAGGTTGCCATAAGCTGAGATCATACCACTGCACTCCAGCCTGGGCAACACAGCAAGACTCTGTCTTAAAAAAAAAAAAATTACAAAGCTACAGAGTTAAAACAATTTGGGGCAGTAGACATGACTAATTCATAGTTGATTTTGCTCAAGACTGTCTTAAATTGTACAGAATTAAACATTGTCATACACAATTATAATATAAACCAAACCAAGAAAACAGTTAACTGGTTTGAGGTGGCATACCTTGAAATATATAACTCAAAAAATATAATATTGCAGAACAAAATTAAAATATGGAATGTAAAACTTACTGGACACCATCAAGTAGATCAATATATTCATGACAGGAATCTTAGAAGCAGAATATAGAGAAAAAGTAATACACACGTAACATGAAGACAGAAAGACTGAGAACTTCCCAAATTTTGATGTAATAAGAAAAATTCTAACCAGTAATACCTACTTCAAAATTATTTTACTTCGAAAACAAGATAAAAATAAGGATCTTCCAAAATAGAAGCTCAGGATATTTATTACAACTGGCACAGTCTTATATGAAATGTTACATAGTAGTCAGACACAGTAGCTCATACCTGTAAATCTATAGCTTTAGGAAGCCAAGGCAGTCAGAGCACTTGAGACAAGGAGTTCAAAAACAGCCTGAGAAACATAGACTCTGTATATTAAACAGAATAGTCCATTATGTTGAAAAATAAGTGGTGCTGGACAGCATCATCAAGCCATATATAAATATAATGCTCTCTATGAAATGTAAATATATAGACACACATAGAATGTTTTACTACCATAATGATGGTGCATAAAACCCTTAAAATACAAAGACTAATGACACTATGAAACAACAACATCAAGTCTGCAAAATAACCAGCTAGCACCATGAAGAGAGGATCAAATTCACACAAAACAATATTAACCTTAAATGTAAATGGGCTAAATGCCCAATTAAATGACATAACGACAAGGTAAAGGGTCAAGACTCATTGGTGTGCTGTATTCAAGAGACCCATCTCACATGCAAAGACACACATAGGCTCAAATTAAAGAATAGGAAGAAAATGTACCAAGCAAATAAAAGCAGAAAAAAAAGCAAGGGTTGCAATCACTGACAAAACAGACTTTAAATCAACAAAGAAAAAAAGACAAGAGCATTATGTAATGCTAAAAGAATCAATTCAAGGAGAATCCAGATTAAAAAACACATTCTTAGAGACCTACAAAAAGTCTTAGACTCTCACACCATAACAATGAGATTTAACACCTCATTGCCAATAATAGACAGATTATTGAGAAATAAAAGTAACAAGGATATTCAGGACTTCAACTCAGCTCTGGGTCAAGTGGACCTGATAGACATCTACAGGACTCTTCAGCCAAAAACAACACAGTACGTATTCTTCTAAGTGCCACACTTATTCTTAAATCAGTCACGTAATTGGAAGTAAAACACTTCTCAGCAAATGCAAAAGAACTAAAATCACAACAATCTCTCACAGCACAGTGCAATCAAACTAGAACTTATAGCTGAGGCCAGGTTTTGTGGCTGAGGCCTTTAATCCTAGCACTTTGGGAGGTTGAAGCAGGTGGATCCTGAGGTCAGGAGATCCAGACCATCCTGGGTAACACAGTGAAACCGGTGAAACCCAGTCTCTACGAAAAATACAAAAAATTAGCCCAGTGTGGTGGTACATGCCTGTAGCCTGCTACTTGTGAGGCTGAGGCACTTGAATTGTTTGAACCTGGGAAGCAGAGGTTGCACTGAGTCAAGATCATACCACTGCACTCCAGCCTGGTGACAGACTGAGACTCTGTCTCCAAAAAAAAAAATCCTCATGTTTTGGCACAGTGGCTCATGCCTATAATCTCAGCACTTTGGGAGGCTGAGGCAGACAGATCATGAGGTCAGGAGTTCAAGCACCGGCATAGCCAACATGATGAAACCCTGTCTCTACTAAAAATACACAAATTACCCTGGGCTGGTGGCAGGTGCCTGTAATCCCAGCTACTTGGGAGGCTGAGGCAAAAGAATAGCTTGAAACTGGAAGGCAGAAGTTGCAATGAGCCTAGATCGAGCCACTGCATTCCAGCCTAGGTGAAAGAGCAAAAGTCTGTCTAAAAAAAAAAAAAACAACTCACAACCACATAGAATCTGAACAACCTGCTCCTGAATGACTGTGGTAAATAATGACATTAAATCAGAAATCACAAAAGTCTTTGAAATCAATGAGAATGATAGAAAAGGAGGGACTTCTTAATTTATTCTATGAGGCCAGCATCATTCTGATATGAAAACCTAGCAGAGATATTACAAAAAAAGAAAACTTAGAGCCAATAACTCTGATAAACATTCATGCAGAAATTCAACTCAAGATGGCTTATAGACTTAAATGTGAAACCCAAAAGTATAAGAACCCTAGAAGAAACTCTAGGCAATACCATTCAAAACACAGCAAGGACTAAGATTTTATGATGAAAACTTCAAAAGCAATTGCAACAAAAGCAAACATTAATAAATGGGATCTAATTAAAGAGCTTCTGCACAGTAAAAGAATCTGTCATCAGAGTGAACAGAAAACCTACAGGATGAGACAACATTTTTGCAATCTAACCTGCAGTGGTTAATTTCCAGAGTCTACAGAAAACTTGAACACATTTAGAAAAATAAAACAATCCCATTAAAAAATGGACAAAGAGTATGAATCAGAGACTTCTCAAAAGAAGACATTTATGTGGTCAATAAACATGAAAAAAAGCTCAATACTGGTGATCATTAGAGAAATGCAAATCAAAAGCAAAATGAGATACCATCGCTTTCTGCCCGTGAATGCCGCCAAAGCAGCATCGTTAAAGTCTCTCTTCTCCCTGCGATCATG